GGAGGGAGACAGACGCCATCGGTTTCACAATGACAAATCCAACTGTTGCGGTTCGTTGAAATTCCACATCTTTTATTGTCATATTGTTCGCTGTCAGCCACCCTTCAGACAGTCCCTGCTATAAAACCAATCCTCTGCTGTGCTTCTCTTGCCTCTTGACCTCATCACACCCAGCTCTGGCTTACTATAAACAAACACAGCAGCTATACACTGTGTGATCGGCAGATCATTTGCTCCTCGGCCCAAACATTATCCTCCGACCAAAGCCACCACTTTGGGTCGGCACCGAAGCCAAGAATACAAGTGGCCGTAGCGGCAGGCGCCTGGAAACATTCCCCTTCTCTGCAGCTCCTAATGTTTTCATTCTTGTAAAAAGCTGGTTTTCTTGGTAAGGCAGCTGAATGAATTGTGTAAGGGCCCTTGCAGGGCAGGATGAGAAGAGTTTCAAAATGCTGACAAAGACCTTTGGTCAGGATGTAGTCACATGGGGGAGGCTAAAGTACTTCACACTTCATAATGTTTGCGCAGCATTGAAAGGAGAAAGGGGGACAGAGGAGAGGTAGGAAGGCACACTATTCTGTTTGATTAAAGATTCATGGATTGATTTAAGCAGGTATCTCCAGTAGAAGGCGTTTGTGCTAAAAAGTAAAGTTGCAATAAAAAAAAATCACTTCTGCAATGGCTTTTAAGGCTTTCGTAACATCACATGTCTATTCCAAACAAGACGCCTCAAAAGAAAGGGATAAATTCAGCGTCCAGTGTGTCGAGTGGTTCGATAAAAATCTGTACGTAGGGACAAAACATGCAGCGGTCCACCATCTCATTCTCGAAGGCAGCAAAAGTGAAAATCCGAGTCCTGACCAGACAAAGACCAGAGAGTGTCGCTCCAGAAAACTGGGATCCAGCAACGCAGTGGTCCAGCTTCGAGCAGTCCCACATTTCAACCATTTGCTGGTTCTCTGGGACCGAAGCATCACTGCACTGAACATGTTCTCCCTGGAGTCTGTCCCCACCATGAAGAAAATCCAGCAGGTGTCGCTGTTTGAGGTGAGCAAAAGTGAAGAAGGAGAAGTTTTGATGGTGACCTCCTCTAGCCGCAGGAAGGTGATTCACATCCACCTGGTGAGAGTGGACAGGTGGGAGCTGGTAAAGGAAGTGGCTCTCCAGCAGGATCCTGTGGCTCTGGCAGTAGATGGCGCCACTCTGTGTGTGGCCACCTGTGACAGGTATCTCCTCTGTGATATGGAGACCGGGAGAAGTGAGGAGCTGTTTCCTCACCATCACAACAAACAACGCATCATTGTTTCCTCAGCTGGACAAGGGGAGTTTTTAATGAACGGACCGGAGTCGTTGGGTAAGAAAAGCTAAGCTAAAGATATTTGTTCATTGTTTTTATATATTTTTTTATTTAATATCATATATTTGACTCATGTTTAACAAATATTGGCTAAGTTTGACTGTTCTGTTACCTTACTTTTCATTTAGCTAAATTGCTAGCATAGCATGGCTAATTTGAACCTTTTTGGCTAACTGTTTCTATCCGACTGACCACGAGTTATTTCTAAGCTAGCTTTATCCACTTTTACTTTCTGGGATTTGGGATTTGTTTGAGGTTTTTTTTTTTTGTTTTTTTTTTTCTACTTTTACCTTTTTGCCACTTTTTGATCTATTCTTCCAATTTTCAACAAAGATTAGACAACAAATTTTATGCGGGCTAACTTGAGCTATTTGTTTTGATGGTATGTTGCTAGGTAATTGCTGATCATTAGGTTTTTCTGCAACAATTATGACACATCTTTGTGGGTTAGCTTTTAGCTACAGTTTAGCCACTTGAGCCATTACATTATGGCTTTTGTTAAGTTATTTTCAGAACACTTTTATTAGAACATGAGGATATATCCTCGGATTCAAGACCCCGTCCCAAATGACCTTTTCTGATGTTTGGTCTATGACTGTTCTATGAGTTGCCGGGTGAATACACTTCCATCGTCTTACAGACAACCTCTTCATACTGTATTTGATTTCCATGCCTTGTTCCCCAGGCATGTTTGTAACGAAGGCAGGGACGTGTCAGCGTCCTCCGCTGCAGTGGTCTCTAGAGGTCCAGGCAGCCAGAGTGTGTTTCCCTTACGTCCTCACTTTGCAGCCACACATGTTGTTTGTTTACAGCATATTAGATCAGCGGCACAAACAGACTGTGAGTCAGCATGGAGCCAAGGGTTTGCTCTCAACACCAGGTGAACCCTACAGTTTAATTACAAAGACCAGATTTCTCTCCCAGCTATCATTACTACCTGCTGCTGCTCCTACACCAGTAAATCGCACCTGCTCTTCCCTCAGACGGTGTCATAGTGTTCACAGAAACAGACATTTTCATTCTTCACCCGGTGCCTGTAGCAGAGCAGATCCAAGCACTGGTGGGAGAGAAGCGAGTCCAGGAGGCGTTAACGCTGCTGGAAGGAGTTCAACGTCATCAACCACTTGACTCGTACAAGGTGAAGTGTACGGTTATTTGAATGAAGTGCAATGTGACGTAAATGTCCTTCCTACAAAACCTGACTCTACTGAACCATCAGTATGACCAATAATCATGGCTGACTCCAAAGACACACTGTACGTAATATAATAGCACTACAACTGGCACTTCAATTCCTTTTTTAATCACACACACGTACACACTTAGAAGAACTGCAAATAAAAAGCAAGTAAAAAAAGTACCAGCTGTATTTACCTAACAGTAAGTTTTTGAGTATTTTAAATATAGTCCACATAAGTAGTTAAAAAAAATAAAATAAAAATTGTCCCATGTACCACCAGAGGGAGTCAAAGTACGACCTACGGTCCGCCACACCGTAGTTTGGGAACTGCTGATCTCCAAAAATGTTACTGTAGTTTTTCTTTCAGACATTAACAGAGTCCTAGCAGTATTTTCTTTACCAACTATATTTTATGGTCTGCTTTAACAGTGATAATGACAGTATTTTTCTCCCATATTGTGTTTAAGAGATTTTGTTGTTGTTGTTGTTGTTGTTGTTGTTGTTGTTGTTATTGACAGGAGCTGCAGAAGGGACAGGAGCTGCAGAAGGCCGTCACCTGTCTCGCTGGATTTGCTCACTTTTACCAGCAGGATTTTTCCGAGGCCAAAGATTTATTCATGTAAGCATAAAGTTAAACTTTCTGGATACAAAGTTGGGGCGGGGGGCGGTAAAATTGTCAAACTAATTATTTTATTATTTTTACCACAAAAAGAAAAGGCGACCTTGATCCCAGAGAAATCCTCCTCCTCTACCCTGACCTGAGACAGTGTCTCAGCGAAGACTTTCAGTCCCAGCTTCATCAACACCCCAAAGACCAAGATCTGCAGCTGCTCTGGGCAGAAGACACAAACACATACACTCATTACTTAAACTTCCTGAGAGATTTTCTCCTCGCTGTCAGAGGCACAGAGCAGGACCTGAGGTGCACTGCAGAGGTGGACTGCGCCCTCCTGAGGCTGTACACGGAACTGAGGGACACTGAGCGTCTGCGGGAGTTGGTTTCACTTCCCAATGAGTGCAGACTGGACTACTGTGTTCCTGTTCTGGAACAACAGCACAGGTTCAAATAAACATTCACTAAAACATGTGTCACATCAAAGACCAGTGATAAAAAAAAGTCAGTATTAATTGCATATTGTTTTTTCGTTTGTTTGTTTGTTTTCAGATTCTTTGCTCTGGGATGTCTTTATCAAAGTCATGGGAAACAAATGGAGGCACTCGAGGTATTTCTACCCAGACTGTAGAATTACTATGTTTTCTAATGACAGGGTGGGAAATTATTTAGAAATAATTATAAAATGGGATTGTTTGGACAGTTTCACCAAAGTGTATTTTTATGAAAGTGTGGCTAACATTTAGGTGGTTTTTTTTTTTAACCTCTTTGATGCCAAATGTTACCGGATTCCAACGAAGCTAGTATTAATCTGTATTAATCTGTGAATTCCCAGACCTGGATGAAGATTGTAGATGGGTTAGACGAAGACCCCTCTTGTTCAGATGTATATGGTCACATCATCGTCACACTCAGTGAACTGAAAGACAAAGGGACTGTGTGGAAGTGTGCAGACTGGACTCTGCAGAAAAATCCAGAGGTGACTTGTCTTTTAGTTTTCACTTCCTAAGTCTTCCTGTAGGGGTCAGAGTTGGACAGTAAAATTATACGGGCCTATTACAAGCTGAAAATAATTTTCACATAACCATAGGTAGCTGTTTTTAATTGTGTCTCTGATTGTGCTGCACTTGTCTGTCATGAAAGAACAAACGGCCGTTTTCTTTGATTCCACAAAGATTGCAGTACGGATCTTCACCAGGCGTCTGCCACGTGATTTATTGGAGACACAAGACGTCCTGACTTTCTTGGAGAAATACCTAGTGGCGTTAATTTTGTATCTCGAGTTCCTAATAAATGATTTGTGCAGCGAGGTGGGTACGGCAACAGCAACCTAATCAAATACCCTGACATTTTTATTAAATGCACTGAGACATGATTGCTTTATTCCTCGCCCTCAGGAGGAAAGCCATCACAACCGTCTGGCCCTGGCATATGTTACTCAGACGCTGCAGAAGGAAGAGGAAGAAGATTTGAACCCCACCATAGGGAAGTTACAGCATCTGCTGTGGGAATCTGAATTCTACGACATTTCCACAGTGTACGGTGTGTGTGAGCGCCCCTCTAAGGTCAATTCCATAAAACTTGGCAACCTCACTCAGAACGTGACAAAAATAAAAATTTATATCACATACATATTTAGTTGCCCATTGAATAATAAACCAATATGTGACAAAAGGACAGACTTGGTATCATCACACACTTCACCACTAACACACCATAAAGTCATACAATAAGATTCAGTGAGGTTTAATGGTGTGCAGCCTCACTGGTAGGTTACTGGTTTCTGCATCATAATTGGGTATAAATGGATCATCCGCTAAACGTCAAATAAGTTGTCATTATTTACATTATCACAATGGTAGAAAAAGTTAGGGAAACTGTTGTTTCAGCATAATCGTCAAGAACTTTAGATTTGGGGTCTGCAACCTTCAACATTAAGAGAGCCGTCATGCTACAGTGACGGACACTGGGGAACTTTCCGAACTTCTTCAGAAAGTCATATATTGTTACAGTCTTGGATTTGGGTTTTTAAAAATCCACAACTGTTCCTGTTTGTTTTTGTTGAATCCTTCAATACCAACTCATTTTCCTGTTTTAGAGGCAGTGAAGTCAACAGCCCTGCACAGTGTGAAAGCCATTCTCCTTGGAAGGCTTGGGAAACATTCTCAGGCTCTGCAGGTGCTCGTACACCAGGAGCAGAACCTTCAGGCTGCTCTGGTGTACTGCCACAGAGCTTCCAGAGACCAGGAGCCTCAGTTCAAACAGGCCCTGATGATGGACCTGCTCCAAATCTATCTGGACTCTGAGGAACTAATCAACAATGCGGTCGATCTTCTGAATGACAACCCTCAGGCCTTCACTGCTCAGACAGTCATCCAGCTGCTGCCGGACTCCTGGTCCGTTCAGCTCCTCTCTCGGTTCTTAGTCAGATCTGTGAGGACAACTGTCCACCAGAGGAGGATGGTGAAGCTACAGAAGATGCTGGTCCAGGCAGAACTCCGGCGGCACAAGGTCGCTTGGGTGAGTTTAATAACATATTCCACATTTTCTATTGCAGTCAACATGATCTTGTTTGTCCTCTTCTGAGCTATGTTGCCCTTTTTTTGCCCTCTCCTCAGCAGATGCAGGCCTCAAAAATGAAATTCAGCCTGGGCAAGGAACAGGCATGTAAGGTCTGTCAGACGGTCATCGCAGAGCCAGCGTTTGCATGTAATTCTCATGGTGATATTGTGCACATTAGCTGCTCAGGAATGATTTAACACCATAAGAACAATGATGGACCATTCAGAGGTTTTTTACCCATTGTTTTATATATATATATATTTCAAATTAGGCTCTTGGCTCAAATCACTAAAGGAAGAACTGTGAAAGGTGATGGATAATTCTAAAATTCTGAGTGACTAAATTGAGAAACAAAATTGTTTCCCCAGATACATTTTGAGTCACTAGTGACCCCTAGTCCTAGTCACTGACAAAGTTCAAATCAGGTCTGTCATATGTCTTCATGATTTCAAGTTTGACTTATCGAAGATACTGTATATTTGGGCAGAGACTCATCCCCAGCACTTCTAGCCAAAATCAGAGACACAAAAAATTGGAATCAGGAGTCGAGTCGAGTCTGAGTCGATTCCAGTCTTTAGAAAAAAGTGAATCCACAAGAAAAAGTTTGAATTAGTTGAATAAAAGTGAGTCTCTGCTGAGTTGTGCTGAACTTATAGGGGTTTAATGTGCATTCAAGTCCAAGTCCAAGTCCTCAGTTGTTTAGTACTAGTCACTACAGAACTCAAGTCTTTTCTACATCACTGTGAGATACAGTATTGGAGTATTTCCAGGCAGGAAGAGTGTGCCCTAAGTCCGAGTGTGTCATCTATTCCAACACTTCACAGGCAGACACGTTTCTCAATACTAGAAGGAGCAAATAACTGGTTTCCAAAATATAAAAGAGCCTACTTTGCCCTTTTCCAGTTCAGCAGAGTCCTCGAGACACTGTGGACAGCAATAACTACCATAAAGTGGATTGTAGAGGACATGCGGGGACATATAGTCACTGATCAGACGCTGGAGTTTTACATGGAAACCACCTGTGGTCACACAATCGACCTTCCTCCACTGCCTTCTATATGCATCCCCACCATCATGGTTTCCACTGACTGTGTTAATTTGCCTGAATAGAGCTGAATATAGAAAGTCAACACACAGCACTTTTTTTTTTTTCAAATTCAGCCTGTGCATTAATAAACCTTTATGTGATGGTTTGCAAGTCAACAGTTGGACGAAGTGCAGAGTTCATTTCAAGTCAGCATCTTTATGATGTGTTTGTTTATTCCAGGGACTGTGAAGATCAGAGAACAGTTTCTCTTCTACCTTCTTCATCCTCATATGATTAGTGAGCATCGTGGATATAAATAACAACAGATATATAAAATAATCACACAGGGGCTTGTGTGTCCACAACACAGTATGTTATTTTGTTTATAAACTTAAACACATATCATTAGTCACATGACAGCGGTCTGAAGATTTGTTTATTTCTGTCAGAATTTAATCACCCTGGCTAACCCCAAATGCCAGCATTTCTTTATACTGATGCATTTGGGGACAAGCGTTGAGAAAACGCCTAAGGAGGCTGGAACGGGGACTTGGCTTTAGGTTCTTGGCTTTCTGTGAGTGACTAATTGCAATGTAGATAAATTAGGAAAAATTAGTATGTTGGACGAGATCATCCCATCAGTTTCCTTGTGCCAAAGTTTCTCCCTAATAAGGTTGAGTAAGGTCACATTTCTTATTGTTGCCCCTGAGGAAAATAGGAAATGTTTGATAAAGCTCTTAGAAATATAACTGGAGCCAAACTTTTCAGATACCGGGGAATAATACAAAAGCTTTTTGTAAATTTACATTATTGTACTACATTTTTGATTACATCAAAAGCTGTTTTTGCAACACTGAAAATCACACAAAACAATCTCTTACTGGGCTGTTGAATATAATTAGATTGATAAAAGATAAAAGTTAGAAGTTAGGCTTGAAACGGGTTAGATAGATGTAAATTAAAGTAGCAAAAACAAAAAGGGATTAGCCCCTAGGTTTAGCTGCTAACCTAATCATAAGAGGCTAACCTACTGCTAATCCAAAATTATGTGTAAATAAATATGATTCAAGGTAAAGTTAATACAGAATTACTGTAGTCAGATGCAGGAAAATAAACTACGCACATTGAGACTAAAGTTAGACCAAAAGATATCCTAATATTAGCCAAAACATTGCTAAAAGTAGAAAACATGATAAAGTAACGTTAGCAAACAAACTTGGGGCTTTGCTAAAAATGTCAAGGCTGCCATCTTTAGCCATTCCTGACAAAAAGGCAACGCTAACTGAATATAAGACAGAGGAAAACTGGTAGCTCAAAAATAGGAGCTAGCCACTAAGATTTATACTGTAACAATATTAAATTTGCCCAGAAACAGCTCAGAGACTAATACATAAACAATGCAGAAATAGCTAAAAGTTAGCCAAAAATATAATGTCATGTTATCACAGACATTAATAAAACTAAAATAAGATGAGATAAAGAAATGAGAACAGAATAAAAAAAAAAAAAACAACAAATGACCAATAAAACTAATTAAACTGGATGCAGATAAAGGATTAATTTTATCATTCAGGCAAAAACTATTTTTATAGATTTATTCTCATTTATCCTCTTTTTAAATTCTGTGTTTTAGTTGATGTGTACTAGCTGTAGTATTGTACTAGGTTTATATTAAACCAAATCTACTCTTTCTTAAGTATTTGGGTCCTTTTGACCTGCATTTTTATGAACATAACTAGAACTAAAATACTAATACTGTACTATTTTTACCTGCCCTGTTTCATTAAATGCCATTGCAACATAATGTTGTTAAACACACATGTGTAAGAATAGGAAACTCAAAAAGTAAAAGCCATGGTTTGCAGGCTTTTAAGACCAAAAAAAAGGCCTTTCACAGATTTATATAAACACTGAGGTAGTGCTGTTCAGTGACTGGCCCAGCCCCCGGGCCGGACCTGATGACCAGTGACCACTGGGTGGACCTGTGGCCCGAGGTCACTACTTCCCTCCCTTCTCAGACATCCTCAGGGAGACATTAATGTTGTTTTGACCACTTGAGGTCATGCTGTGTCCTAAAAAAATAACTTCATGTTTGATGTTGACCAACAGCCCTGTGTAACCAGGAGGTGAAAATACACAGAGAGAAGTACAAATACACACCCAGAGGAATAAAAAAAAAACATGTTAGATTAACAAGATTAAAAACATTTTTTCCATTACTTTTCTTATCTGATGCAAGTCATAATTAACGGTCTCTCTTCAGTGAACACCAGAGCTTGTTGCCTGAGCAGGACTGGACACTTCAGAACACCCTGGGGTGTGGGCCAGATGGTCATTTTACACATGAGGGGAATGAATTGGATGCAAAAGTCAACAGTTGGAGGAAAGTATGGTAGGTACCCAGACATTGGTCTCCCATTATAAATATCCATGTCACCACAGAGCTGGTGCTGGGAGAGAAAATAGGAACAGTTTCTTCCTGTGCTTTTCTAAATTTGAGGTAAAATATGTCTGCTGTCTGGACTGTAGGATGTCATTGTTTACATATTAACATGGTTTTTATTGGGGGAGGAAGCAGTAATGAAACGCACTGCACCATTTTACCTATTGAGCACGGAATACAAATAAATGATTCCTCGGATTGTGGTCACTTTTTCACAGTTCATTATTTAATGTTTTTTTTTAACTTGGTTCATAATTTAGGGGGAAACTGTCTTTTTTATAACACGTTACAGTGCTGTTCACAGTCAACAACTCACTTAAAAATAGACCAAGTTGTTCCCAGACCTTTCAAGCAGCGCCATCTTTTGGTATGTATCTATTGTCGAACCACCAACACTCAACTCTGACGCAGTTACAGTTTTTCGTCAGAATTCTACTGCATGTTATTTAAACACTTTGATTCCTTGAACACTTTAAACCTCCATGAAAAAGAAAAAAAATATCAAAAATATCCACACAAATTATCATTTCAAGTGCAATGCAACATGCACCACTTTTTCTACAGAGACCAGCGTGATTGTGATACTTTCAAGTTCAAGTTCAACAACATACCATCGATTGAGCTTGTCTATTGACGCTACTCTGACATCAGAGTGTACTTGGTGATCTCAAACAGAACAACAATAAACAACTTCAAAATATATATTTTTATAACCTCAGCCAAGACACATCACTCTACAAAACTAAATATACTGTTCAAAAAATTAAAGTTTAATAAGTAATGGCGTTCAAGTATCGTTAGAAATTATTTTGAAGTTCAGTGCCATGTGTTAAGATCCTACACGATTCCAGTTCCAGTTAACACAGCGGACCTTGAGTGCTGTCTGCAGCCTTTGTTGTGTAAGAGTTTAGCATCTGTGGGCCTCCAGAGGCTGTGAAGAATAACACACTGTACACTACTTACAGAAAAAAACCATCAGAATGTTTAAAAATTTAACGAAAATAAATAAATTCTTGCTCGGTAGCAACTGTGGCCTTTGTGCTTCTCTGCAAAGTGGGAAAAAGGCAATGAAATCAGTGACTCTGCATTTATAGAACACGAAGAAAAACCACAAGAAGGAGCATGTTTCACCACCAGGGTGTAAAACGTGCGGTTTTGATATTAAGTGTCTTTGAACCAATTTTTGTTTTCTTTTTTACTCTCATTAGCTTTTACGATGATGTGTTTTCCACATTTCTATGGTGAAAACTCCAGAAAAAGTGCTGAGGGAAAGTGTTGCCTGAAGATTATGAAAACTGCAGCAGGTACTTCACTAAATAAGGCCTAAGGGAAAAGATGAATACACAATGCTTCGCTGTGCATCGTGCATCATATTTATAGTCTAAGCCACAAATTACTGTATCATGTCCCTCATGACGCATTTTTCAGTCTTTTAGTGGTTAGTGAAAGACAAGGAGAATCTTAAATTGGTAGCAATAATAGCAAGTTTGAAGAAAACCTAAGCGATTGAAGTTTAATTCCCACTTTCGCCAGCAATACTAATTCTGTAGATACGGCAGAACATGTATGGGAAGAAATAGCCAAAGAGGATGATCAAAGCAAATCTTTTTTAAACCCCTAAAGCAACACTCTCATTTTCATGACTTGCTACCTTGGGGTTTGGCAGAATGCCACTGGGAGAAATGTGTGGGGTGGCCCCACTGGAGACACACAGGGCAGAAACGGTGACCACAGACACCCACCCGGCCCTGATGCATGGATGCATGGCTTATATACATCATACTGTACTTTACAGACACACACACACACCCATGACTTACAGAGCAATCATTGTTCGACTGTAACCACTCACCGAAGCTGTTTGTTTGACTGGAAGTTGTAAGGAAACCCAACTAGAACACGCTGTGCCCAAAATAAGGCACACATGTTGCAGATCAGCCACTGGCTACTGTCAGAATGACTACTCACTGGGGCGGAAGTTTTCCAAACTGATACTTTAACTTGGATACATTAAATAAAAGTACAATACACTACAGCACTAAAGATATTTAGGTTGAAATGTATTTGCCTTTTGCAGCCTCCTTCCCACAGGGTCGAGGACCTGGGGGTGGCCCCACCCCCCACTTTGGGAACCACCGGCCTCTAGCCAGGATTGAGATGTTCAGGACGACCTCTATGTTTTAGTATATAAATAGTTGCAATTGTGGTGCTTTGGCCCAGAGGCAATGTCTCTGTCATTGGTGTGGAACCCCAGGGTTCACCTCCTGGGCAAGATTGAATCCCGGTTGGGGGCAGTCTCCTCCTGTCTCCTTCCTGTGGACTCACCGCCTGCAGGAAGGTTCAGGGGGGTTGATACGTTGCAGTGTGATTTCAGTGGCTTTGGTGTGAATTGTCCAAATATTAACTACAGTTTTTTCCTATCTTAAAGTCATCAGACAGAGGTGGGGTATTTGTCTGATGAGATGGGATGGATGGGTAAACTTGGGGCACTTCTCCCCATCTACGCCCCGACCTATTGTCAATTTAGATTGTCTAATTAACCTAATCCCCAAAGAGCATGTTTTTTGCACTATGAGAGGAAGCTGCAGTACCAAGATAATCCACAAGCAGGCCAAACACATGGATAATATAGAAAGACCAAACTGTTACTGGTGGAGATCAAATGTTTCATCATCTTGCTGTGAGGCATTAGCATTATATAAGTCCATAGGAATGAAGAAGAAAAACAGGATTTAAATTTTAAAAACATTGAATAGAGATCTATATAATTTTCATGCCAGGTCTGGAAATTTCCAACGTATTTAGAAAAAAAGATAATGATAAATGGCACAACATGGCAGTCCAACAGAAGTCTGATTTAAATGGAAAAGGTGAATATTACCTGCAACCAGGGTTTGACTGGATTGTTCTGTGAGACTTCAGGTAATTTGGATTATTTTTTCTCCCGATCTCAGCTCTTTTTCAGGCAGACTGTCTGCCTTTTTAATTGCAAGTGATCAAATCGGATTTGTTTGTACAGACGTACTTAACCCGTCTGCAGGGCATGCAGCAGAAATGGAGCAACATCGTCTTGCGCTACAGGCATTCATTCCATCAGATATTGTTGATGGTGTGACTTGAGCAACACTTCGGTCATTAAATGCTAGATGTTAAAAGGGACAAAAGAGAACATTTTTGTAGATGTGACCTTCAGATTGACCCTGGCTGCCAAACATATTCAATTTTAACGTTTCATAGCCCAAAGAATATTTAATGAAAATTCCATGATATTCAAGGTCATGACATTTTTTAAAAAAATATCCAATGTCTTTAACGCACTGACCGAGAGAAAGATCAACGTACAGAGATTTCACTTGTTTTTCTGAGCCATAAATAGATAGTTCTCCTGTGCAGCTCAGCATAATGACCGGTAGTCATGTGTTTAAGAGCAGAGGTGGAGAGTTTAATACTACACCCTAGGGGTCTACTTTTGGTTGTCCACCTGTTTTCTATCTTTTTATTTTTCTTGATCTCCAGGTGGAACAGCATTAATCTCTGAATCCTGTGGGTGTCCTGGAAAAGAAATACATCTCCGTAGTGGTTACCACGTCGGTCACAACCACCATCCTTCAGTCATTAACTATTTCACACCAGCGTTTGAATATAGGTCCAAGGTTTGCGCCATGTGTTCTGACCGACAACCCATATGGGTTTGACCTACTGTTTGCCCACAGGCGGGTAAAGAACAACTGGTAACAATATGTGGACCACAGGAATAAAATTATCCTCTGAAGAGAAAGAGAATTCAGGAAAACTCAAACAAGTGTTTTAGTTACATTTCTCAAACAATTTGAATAAATTACCCTGTAATGTCTCCAAGAGCTTTTAGTTTTGTCAACAACACTGAAAATAAACCTAAAAATAACCAATAGCAAGATTGAAAAAAAAGCTTTTATTCCAATATTCCAAAATTACATTTACTATAGGGTCATGGGAAGTTGGCTTAGAAACTGCTAAATGTGAAAGGGAGTTACATTTAGCTTAGCTTTTCCTAGAAGCTTAGCCTAGAAACTGGGAAAAGTCAAAAGAGCTAAAAGGCAAAAACATAAAGGTAGCTTGGAAATAACTACCAGTCGCACAGAAATTACTTTAAGAAAGGGCAAAAAAAAAAGGAAATAAATCTACAGATGACGCACAAACCGCTAAAATAAGACCAAAATAGTTTGAACGGCTAATTAGTGACAGATAAAAGTTAGCCCATAAATTGCCATAAGGAATAGCAAAATAAAATAATATATTAAAAAAAGTCATGTTAGCGCACAGCTGATGAAGAGTTTGACTAATGTAATTAAAACTGTAGGGGCCAGTGTCGTTGACCACAGGGTCACTTAGATTTTCTGAGCTTTATCTGTGAACGTACACCTCCTGTGCTGTTCAACATCACTGATTACAGAGCAGCTCACTGTTACTGTAGCCTGGGAAAGTTGAGACCATAGGATCACGCATAATTAGACTTTTAGCGCCAATCCTCCCCACAGATGAACACACCCTTCACCACAACAGATCGAGCAGGGAGTTAAAACCAACACCATATCAAGCACTGCAGTTAAAGATGCCTTCACTGTGCTATCTAGCACTGAACGCACTGCAAGCCACACAATAAAGGTCCCGGGGGTGGGGGGGAAATCCAATACCAACCCCAGAAAGCCTCTTCGACCTTCAAAACGAAAGCATCTGTAGCAGGAATCTCCAGTAATCTGTATTTAGAGACGAAAAAAGTCCCGTGAACTATCATAAACTATCATAAAGTCTGACAAATTAGAGGTGTATTGTGTTTTAGCATAGAATTACAATTCTATTTCTAAAGATCGAACATCTCTGGAAGCATTGAACGACGGCTATTTCAAGGCCTTCATTAAGTCTTCCGTGAACCCTAACTACCACGGAGAGCCAGAGAATGGGGCGATTTTCAGCTGACGTGAATCTGCACGGCATTTTGGCATTTTGTGGTTTCATAAACCAACACATACCCATACTTCAGGGTATTTCAGGAGAGCCTGTGCATCACCATGGAAAACAAAGTGCAAATAACAATTACCAGACGGTACAAGATGTTCTCCAAACTGGGCAGGAAGCGACCAGAAAATATGAAGTCTCTAATGTTTTGATGCGTTAGTGTTACATAATTAGACGACTTTTGTGACTTTTACTCCACTGACCTAGTATTTTACTTTCTGTGGAGTAGTAAGTTGTGACAAAAAAAATGTTGAATTAGTCTATGAGCAGAGTGTATGATGACTCCTGATTCTGATAACTTTGAGTCCCAGGGGTGTGGGGGTGACTGAAGCCAATCCCAGCGTTCATCAAGTAGTAGTCAGACAATACACACCCTGGACAGTCCACTCCATCACTGGGTCACATACAAAGACCAACGTTCACACATACCTATTTCTGTGTATACCTATTTCATACCTAAGATGTTTAATTTAGCGATTCCTGGGGTCCTTGAATAAAACCCAAGCACACACAGGAGGACAAAAACAAGGACATCG